CTGAGTCCCCATCTCTGCAGGTGTGAAGTGGAGATGGCTTCACAGGCTTAAAAGATATAATGCCTGGGACATCTCAGCAGAGTGCCTGGTTCATATAACATATAACACTCAACATGTCAGCTATTGTTACCCCTTGGGAAGAAAGAAGCAGTGACAGGTCAGAATATGCTGAGTGACGCAACTCAGGTGGGATGCTTCAGAATCTGGAACGTGGATTCCTGGGAACTAAGACCCTCACTTTGACGGGTCAGGCCAAGAGATGGGCCTGTGTGGCCAAAGGTCATTTAGGGGTTAAAAAAAAAAGTCTATCCTCAAAGGTCTAAAAACGTGTGCAACCACAGGAGGCTATTATGCAATTTCGCTTTTAATTTTTAAAAAGATACCTGGAGGCAGTGGCTCATGGGAGGCCAAAGTGGGCAGACTGCCTTAACTCAGGAGTTCAAGACCAGCCTGGGAAACGTGGTGAAACCCTGTCTTTACTAAAAAATAAAACAAAACAGAAAAAAAGCCTGTGGTGGGACGTGCCTGTAATCTCAGCTACTCAGGAGGCTGAGGCACAAAAATCACTTGAACCCAGGAGGCAGAGGTCACAGTGAGCCGAGATTGCGCCGTTGCACTCCACCCTGGGTGACAGAGCCAGACTTTGTCTCAAAAAAAAGAAAAGAAAAAAAGGAAGACACGAGCATCTAAAGGAATGAAGGTGAAGACTTGACATCTACGTAGTAACCTTTTATGCTTGCAGAGAACTTTGTTTTCTGAAAGAACTTCCCCAACCGTTGTTAAGCAAGGGAATTCTTCATTAGGAAGTTTTTAAAATGGAAAAATTTTTTTTTTTGAAACAGAGTTTCATTCTTGTTACCCGGACTGGAGTGCAATGGCACAGTCTCGGTTCACCACAACCTCTGTCTCCTGAGTTCAAGCAAGTCTCCTGCCTCAGCCTCCCGAGTAGCTGGGACTACAGGCATGTGCCACCATGTCCCATGCCCGGCTAATTTTGTATTTTTAGTAGAGATGGGTTTCTCCATGTTGGTCAGGCTGGTCTCGAACTCCCAACCTCAGGCGATCCACCCGCCTCAGCTTCCCAAAGTGCTAGGAATACAGGTGTGAGCCACCGCACCAGGCCAAGATATTCTTAACTGGTTGCATATTACTAGTGGTGATAGTAGTAGTGAGAATAGTCATCTAATAATAACCATCATCATGGTCCTAAGGGCTTTATGTACAAAATCTCACTGAATCCTCCCCACAGGTGAGTGAAAAACACTAGCTACCATCACTCTCAGGTTACTGATGAGAAACCTGAGGTTTGGAGAGGTTCCACACCATTTCTGCTGTGTTGAATCTTCCTGACAACTCTAAGAGGTTGGTCACCCATACAGAGGAGGAACCTGAACCCACAGAGGTGTCAATAGATTTAGCCCAGGTTACTGGGTGTGGTCTGGAGGCAGACCTGCTGGGTGCAGGGCCTCTGGCTTTCCCATTGCTGAGCACTGGAGTCAGCCACTGGAGTTGGGTCCAAGAGAGTGTGCCTGGAATGAAGGAAGAGAGGAGCTCACCTCCTCTGCCTCCTCTTCCACTTAGACCTGTGCAAGGTGTCACCAGGGGGAGCCAAAGGGCCCCAGGTCGGCCACTCTGGGCCGCCGAGGACTGCCATCCTGCTGGCTAAACCAGCATGCCCCCCGAGCCACAGAGGTGGTGTTGGACAGGATGGAGCAGGCAGTTGGATTCACTCTGAAGGTCCCATCAAATAGACAAATATTTGGCTTAAATTCTCCTCTGGCTTCTTGCTCCTTTTCCCCAGAGCCACAAGAATTACCAGTTAAATGATGTCCGTCTTGTTTCTTTGTTCATTCATTCATTCATTCAACAGTAATTTCTTCGGTCCCAACTAGGAGCTGTGGCCTCAGATATAGATCAGTTGTGAGCCCTGCCCTCGAGAGCCCCGTCTAGGAGGAGACAGATGTAAAACTCAGGGTGAGCCGGCTCTGATGAGGCAACTACAAGGGACTGTGGGATCCCAAAGGAGGCCCCATACCCAGCTGGGGGCAAGGGGCAGGGTGTGGGCAGAAGAGGGGGTGGGGGTGCCTTGAAGAAGGGAAACCAAAGGTTTCCTGGTAGGGTGAGGGATGTAGGCTCTGGGGTGTGAAAACTAGGACTTGTGTGAGGTTCCCTTTGCAGCAGTTTGGTGAGGCCGGGACTGCTGCAGAGGGGCAAGTGGTGCCTTGTTTGCCATGCAGAGAACACGCAGGTCATTTGGAGGTGACAGGAGCCATAGTGTGCTCCCTGCCAAGGTCACTGTGCAATTCAGCAGCCTTCAGCCTCCACTATCCCAGCTCCACATCCAGAGGTTCCAAATCATCCCTTGCTGGAGGCCTGGCTGTGGGCTCCCACCTGCCAGCCCATCCCACTTCAAAACAGGCTCATCCATTTCTATAGGCAGCCTACAGTGCTCTGCAGTTTTCGAGATGCTTCCAGAACATTCTCTGGCTCACTTGTTCAGTCCTCACCTTCTCTCATGGACCTTGGCGGACTCTCTGTTGGTCCTTCTTGTCCATTAGGCAAATCTCTTTATGCTCTGTGTCCAGCCCAGGTCACCTACCCTAAGAGGCCTCCGTCATGGCTCCCAGGGGCAGAAGTGACCTCCTCTTTCTCTGCCCCACAGGCCACCTCCTTTCCTGCACCTGTGAGGGGCTTACAGGTGTGTCTTCTCTCCATTTCCCTCCTCCTCTGCTCACTGACTCCTCCATGTAGACAACAAGCTCCTGGAAGGAAGCGCTTTCTGTCTGCACACCTTAGAAGGTGTTAATTCACCAGCAAACTTGACCTAAGCAATTACTTTAGGGCAGGCTGGGACTAACCGTACAAGGGAGAGCTACCTCTGGGCTGTGGGGTCACAGAGTAACCTGCCTCCGTTCATACCTGGATTTGTGGGGTCAGAGCCTGGAAGAAGGTTCTCCTGCTGCCATCAGGCTTGAGGGGCACCTGGCCAGGGCTGGGGGTCCCTAATGACCAGGTGCATTAAAGGTCATTGTTTCCAGTAGCTCAGAGCCCCCTGGAGGAACCTCCCCACCACCTCACACTGCTGGCCCTGTTCTCCAGAGCACAGGGCAATATGTGGTTCTGAGGGAACTCCCCACCCCCTGCAGAAACTCAAAGCCACACAATTGACAAGGAGACAAAATAAAGCCTGTCAACAGCATCTCCCAACTTAAACCAGCAGCCATGCAGACCAAAACGTCTCACGTCTCGAGCAATGGGATAGAGGCTCGGTGGAGACCGGAGGCAGCATGTCCTTCTTCCTTGGGCCTTTCTGGCCTCCCAACACCTCCCATCCCCATGTAGGGGACCCCTTGCCTCGGCCACCAGGACAGTGTCCCAAACTGACAGAAAGTCAGATGGGAGTAAGAACTGGCTGGAGGAGTTCATCTACAACAGGTCGGATGAGTGTGTGAAGACGCATGTGTGAGTGGGTGTGTGCTGGAGGGTGGGAGGGTGTGTGTGAGGCTGCGATTGCATGTGTCTACATGCATGTGCCTGTATGTGTGATGGTGTGTGCGTGTGTGTGTTGGGGGCAGCAAAGGCAGCTGGCGTGGAGGGTCTGAAACTGGTGCAGGCCGAGTGGACAAAAAAGAGAAAAGTGTTGTCTTTGAGTCGGGGCTGGAGAGCAGGAGAAGAAAAAAGGAGCTCTTATTGGTGGTTGTCAAGGAGATGGGCCTTGGAGTGTGCTGAACTTTCTTCCCTTAAAGCGCCCGGAGCTGAGAGGGGCCATTTATTTCCAGCCGCGCCTCCCTCTCAGGCCGGGTGGGACCAGACCCAAGCCCGAACCTCGCCAGGCGTCAGGTGTAAACCCCAGGCCAGGCCAGAGCACTTCCTGGGTCTTCCGACCGCAATGCGCGCCCCGCCCCTCCTCCTGGCCCCGCCGGGGCTGTCACTGGGGAGGCCTCGGCCTCGCATTCCCAGCCGCGAACTTCCCAGGCCGAGGTCAGCCCCATGCGGGGCCTCGCCCGGGACCTGCCGCCAAGGGGCATTGTCCGCCCCGGGCGCCCCGTTCCAGACGCGGGTCCGGCGGCCGCCTCCTGACGAGCGCACTGACCAGCCACTGTCCTTCGGCGAGTGCTAAAAAGTTGGTTTGTCCGCATGTTCTCACTCCTAGGCGGTGTTGAACAATGAGAACACATGGACACAGGGAGGGGAGCAACACACGCTGGGGTCTGTCGGGGGAAATAGGGGAGGGACAGCAGGGGGCGGGGAGTTGGGGAGAGAGAGCGCGGGGAGAAATGCCAGATATGATATAGGTGATGGGGAGGAAGGCAGCACATCACACTGCCATGTGTGTACCTATGCAACAGTCTTGTATGTTCTTCACATGTAGCCCAAAACCTAAAATGCAATAAAAATAAATAAATAAATAATTTTAAAAAAATAAAAAGTTGGTTTGTTCTGAAGGTGAATGTTTAAGCGATCTGCAACGCGTTTCCCCGCCCGGTTCGCTCGCTGCTGCCTCGCCCGTGCTCAGCCCCCAGTAGGTGCTCAGGAAACGTCCAGTGAACCCGGGGCGCGGACGAGTCTGTTCTGCTCGCGGGCGCGTTTCCCTGCAAACGGGTGGCGGGCGACCTCGCAGGACCCCCGGCTCGCAGGAGCCCCGCCCCCGAGGGTGCGGCCGGGAGGGAATGGGCTGCCCCAGTCGGGGGCGTCCACCCTGGACGGCTAGGGCCGGGGGGTCGGGGGCAGGGGAGGGCGCAGCCTCCGAGCAGCCCCAGCCTGGCCGAGACCCCGCGCCCGCAGTCCCGCGAGCTGGCCGGCCAGCCGGGCTCCCACCCCCACCCCCCACCTGCCGACCGCCCCAGGGGAGGGCCCCCCCCAGGCCGTCCGCGCCCCCCTCTCCCCCACCCCCACCGCGGGCCGGTTGCCCGCACCCATTGGCCGGCCCTGCGCGACGCCCCGCCCCCCGGCGCCGCTGGCCAATGAGCGCGCGCTGTCAGCTCGTCAGCCGGGCCGGCTGGGCGGCTCGGCAGCCCGAGCGGTGGCGGAGCGGCGAGCAGCGAGCAGCGCCTGCGGGAGCGGCCGGTCGGTCGGGTCCCCGCGCCCCGCACGCCCGCACGCCCGGCCGGGCCCGCATTGAGCATGGGCGCGGCGGCCGTGCGCTGGCACTTGTACGTGCTGCTGGCCCTGGGCGTGCGCGGGCGCCTGGCGGGGGGCAGCGGGCCCCCAGGTAAGCCCCAACCCAGGTTGGGGGGAGGCGGACGCGGGGGGCGCGGGCAGCCGACGCGCGGTCCGGGAGCCTCCTTCCCCGTGCATCCGGAGCTTGCACCGCGCGGCCCCGCGCAGCCCCCCACCTCTTTCCAAAGTAACTTCTGGGGCCGGCCCGGGGCGCCCCCTCCCCGCAGCCCGGGCGGCCGGGGCTCCTGAGCCCAGCGGGGCGGGGGCTCGTGGGTCTGGGCCCCGGGAGGGGAAATACGAGCGCGGGAGCGAGGAAGAAAGGCGGCGGCTCCCGGGGGCCCGGCGTGCGGACCGGGGCGGGGTGGGACCCCGAGCGCAAAGGGGGCTGTCCTCCCAGGAGAGGGGGCGCGGGGCAGGGCGGGGCGGGGCGGGCGGAGGGGACACGCCGGGAGGTGAACGGGGAAAGGGACGGACCGAGGGACAGGGACGGGCAGGAGGTGCGGGACAGACGGACAGAAGAACCGGCGCAGGGGAAGCAGAGACAAAAGGACGCAGGAGGAGGCCCGGAGAAAAGACCGACGCGGAAGGGTGGAGAGGAGGCCCGCGCGGCCCGGGGAAGGAGGGGACCCGAGGGAGGGAGGAGGAGGCCCAGGGACGAGGGGGAATCAAGAGGGACGAGGAACGGTCCCACCGATAAGTGAGAGAGGAGGAGACGCGGGACAGATGGACGCCAGAGAAAGACGGAGTGAGGAGGGGGCAGCGGAGGGAGACTGGGAAAGAGAGAGGGACAGAGATGCCTGGAGAGCCGTGGACGACGGACCGTCTGACAGGACGGGGAGGAGAGACAGAGGGAAGGAACGCAGAAGAGACAGAGGGACAGACGCGGGGAGGAGAGTCCGGACTCAGGACGTCGGTGGAGCAGACCCAGGAGGGGGAGGGGAGGCCCGGAGGCCACCGGCCCAGCCCCGAGGCTTTCACGGGGACCCCTCACTGTCCCACCCATCCCCTCCTCTCTGGCTGTCTGCAGAGGCTTCCCGAAAAGCTGGAGTCACTTTCTCTCCTCTGCGTCATCAGAGGCTTTTCCTCCCGTGCTCTGCTCGGAGCAGGGGCAGGGGGAGGGTTCTGCACGTCCTTCCAGGCTCCCTGAAGTCTGGTTTGGGTGACTAGGGTCTGTTCCTGGTGGTGACGCGTGCCCAGAGTGGGGATGCTGGGCCAGTGAGACTCCTCCACAGCAACACCTCTCCCGGAAGCCCAGCCCTGCTGCCCCATCCCCCTTGTGGGTGTCTCTCAAGCTTTGGGGTCCCTCACCTCTGAGTGACTGTTTCTGGGTGTGCCTATCACCACCTGTGTCCCTCCTCTGTGTCTGCCTCTGTCTCCTCCCCAACCCTCTCGGTGGAAGCCCCATGACTGTGAAACTCCAGCAGCCTGTCCCTAACATAAGCAAACCAGAGTCCAAGGGAGCTCCCTTTGACTCAGGTGCGGGGAGGGCTGGGCCACCCTGCATGGGAGTCTCCAGCCCAGACAGGAGCCAGAGCTGGCAGAGGACCAGTGGGGACAAGTGGCTCCTCCCCGTCTCTCCTCAAACTCGCATGCCCTCTCCACCGAGAACACCCAAGTGTTTAAAGGTGCATTGGGAGCTAGCTTCACCCACTCTCATCTGCGTCCATCTGTTTCCATCCCAGTGAAGACACCGGGCTAGGGGGTAGATTGGGGGTGGGGGCACAAGGGGCTCACACCCCTCATTCCCATGCACAGGTCCCGGGGAAGTGGGAAGAGCCATATCTGTGGCCTGCTGCCCCTGCTGGTCCTGTCTCAGAAGTGACACCAATCCTCCCAAACAGAAGCATGGAAATGGGCCCCCTCTGACCTCTGGTTCCCAGCCCTAGAGGCAGTGCCACCCCTGCACAAGAGTCCCTCTGTTGACACTTTCCCAGAAGGTGCTCATGGATGTTTCTGCTGGACCAGCCATCCAGTTGCCGGCTGGGTCCTCTCCAGTCCCTGCCTCCTGGTCCCTTTTCCACTCTTCCCCTGAGCAGTTGTCAAGGATAGGCTGCCCACCTGAGCAGATGCAGCCCCCCTGAAAAGTGATACCACCTGCTGTGTGTGTGCAAGGTGGTCATGCTGTTGTGTTTCTGTTTGATGCCTCTCTTCCTTTAGTGGTGGGAAGGAGACTTGGGGGCTGGGGCAAAGAAGGAGGACACCTAGGGAGCATGGATCTCATAGGCCCCACTGGCAGATTTCAAACCCAGATATTATTCAGGGGAGAAATTTAGACACTCATGGGGACCCAACCATCTAAGGTGAGACCAGAGGCATGAAGAGATGGGGACATTCTGAGCTCACCCCTGGGGGGGCTGCCCTCATGGCTGCTGCTGAAAGTTCCTTGTGCTGCACTCCTGGGTCCTTCTGTCTATCTATGTCATCCATCTGCATTTCATGCATTGCTAGCTAGAAGTCACATGGCACATAGGAAAGCTCATTCTGTGCCTGAGTCCATTGTCTGCCCCAGTGAGCTACTGACCTACGACAGATACCTGGGCCTCGGTTTCCTTATCTATAACCTGAGGTATTAACCTGGATGATAGCTGTGGCTCTGACTGTGCTGAACTGTGCCTGACAAGAGGAAGGTCCCCTCCCTGCCTGAACTCTGTGTGTGTGTGTGTGTGTGTGTGTGTGTGTGTGTGTGTGGAGAGAGAGAGAGAGATTTGGGGTGTATAGATGGAACAGATACACAGAATCCATTTTGCATGATTTTGCCCCAACAGCTATACCAGACTGAAGGTGTTGGGGGTGGGAGGTAGAGAGTGTTGGGAGCCCTCAAAACCTAAACTGAACTTGCATTTAGAAGCTGGGATATGAGAACCAGATTCACCTGTGGATTTCTGAGGAAGGAGGATGGTGGGAGGAGTCAGAACCATGGATGGGCTCAGGTTAGCCTAGTTGAGGGTGTGCTTCTGCCACCGGACACCGGTGCGGGGCCATGGAAGGCAGATGACGCATCCCATATCTCCACAGCCTATGGTCAGGGTGAGATACCATGTTCAGGTGGCCTGCAGGAGCCCCCTGGCATGGCCTCGGTGTCCCCATCTGAAACCCAAAGGGACTGGATTTAAATTCCTCCAAGGACCCTTCTGGCTGTAAATTCTAGAGTGAGGAGCATGGAGGAGGGTTGGGGCAATGCTTGTGTGGAGAGCAGGATGCCTGGAGGAGGTTCTTCCTCACTTTCTCCTTAAGCCTTAATTTTCTCATCTTTTTAGTGGAACAATAGCTCAACCTGATTGTTGGGACAATAAATAAGGCCAAGCATATTGGTAGCATTGTCCCTGCCACAGAGGAGCTGCGCCAATGATGCTGCCAGTTGCCACTTGTCACATCAGACTGTCCTGTGTGACAGTTGTTATTGCCAGTGAGCACACTGATCAATGGACAGGCAGAGGCAAGAGCTTCCTTGCCCCATACCATCGGCTGCCTCCTCTGGGGCCACACCTTACTTCTTGTTTCCCCTACACCCCTACCCACAGGGTCAGTCGACGTGGACGAATGCTCGGAGGGCACGGATGACTGCCACATCGATGCCATCTGTCAGAACACGCCCAAGTCCTACAAATGCCTCTGCAAGCCCGGCTACAAGGGGGAAGGCAGGCAGTGTGAAGGTGAGTCCAGCCCGGCCCTCCCAGCCAGACCCTGCGGCTGCCAGGGCTGCTGTAGGTGCCCGATGCCCGCCCCATTCATCACCAGCCAGGGCTGAGCCTCCAGCACCACCATTGTGGTGGCTGACAGCAAGGCTTCTCTCAGTCTCGGGAGGGAGGCAGTGAACTTTTCGGGAATGCTGGCTGCTTTCCTGGAAGGGTGCAGTTGGAGTCATGGGGTGTCTGATTCTCAACAGGGCTTGAAACTTTTCATTCTTTTTAAGAAATTGACTGGGTGCAGTGGCTCATACCTGTAATCCCAGCACTTTGGGAGGCCAAGGTGGGTGGATCACCTGAGGTCAAGAGTTTGAGACCAGCCTGGCCGACATGGCGAAACCCTGTCTCTACTAAAAATATAAAAAACGTCAGCCAGGTGTGGTGGTGAGTGCCTGTAATCTCAGCTACTCGTGAAGCTGAGGCAGGAGAATCACTTGAACCCAGGAGGCAGAGGTTGCAGTGAGCCGAGATCGTGCCACTGCACTTCAGCCTGGATGACAGAGCAAGACTCTGTCTCCAAAAACAGAAAGAAAGAAAAAAAATTAAAATGAAGCATTGAATGATTTATTTGTGCATCTGTCCTTGACTGGCTATATGGGGGTGGAGTGCAAAGACCTGGGTTTACCCCTAAGCCCCCAGGTCCCTGATGCCAAGTTCAAAACCACCCTATAGATCTCCTGTCTCAAGCTCCAGTGCTTGGACAGACACTGGTAGATTTGCACCATCTGTCTGTCTATCCAGCCTTTCTACTCTGCATCTGGGGTGCTGGTTAGACCTCCTGGCATTAGAAACTGCTTCCCTAGCAGGCTGAAAGTCAGAGAGAAAAGAGCAACTCTGGCTGCATTTGGCACCAGGACTCTCCAAGCTCATTGGAACCTTGGGAGCTTTTGTCCATGAGAGTCTGCATGGCCGTCCTCACCCCATGGGTCTGGGGCAGCACTGGGCATCTGGGGGCTGGAGATAGCTGTCTCTGAGATGAACGTGCATCCCAGTCTTCCATGTCTGCACCCATTGTATAAATGATGAGAGCCGAGGCTCAGAGAGGAAAACCATCTTTTGCAAGGTCCTCACGTTCACAGTGACCCATGACATGACAAGGACTGAGAGCCAGGTCTTGTGACTCCACTCAATGCCTCTGACATCTCATTTTCTTCTCCCTGGGCCCTGCCAGCTGAATTTTTCCAAGTTTGATATTTGTATTAGGAAAGTGGCAAGTGAGCATAAGACGGGTCCCTGTTCTTTCTGTAATAGGCATTTACAGGGCTGGAGTTCTGTGGGAGAGCCGCCACGCCTCCTTGGGATGCTGGTGGTGTTTATCCATTGTGTTTGTTGAGCATTTATTTAAGGCTGAGTGCTGGGCAAATAACATCGCCCTGGGTCATGCCTGGTTGGGTCATATTCCTGGCATGCTCAGGGCCCAGAACCCGAAGCGGGGAGCTGGTGCCTACCCACAGACCTCTGGAAGGAGGCCAGGCTGGAGGCACACAGAGGAGGCCATGAGTGAGAAGCCTGGTGGGGCGGCTGGCCGGCTGCTGGCAGGGCCAGATGCTAGCTTGCTGGTTCAAGTGGTACATACGAGGCTGTGTGTTGCCACTTTCTGACCCACTACTCTGCCTCCCAGAACAAGTGTTCTGGCAAGGCAGGGCCATGTTGACCCACCCCCATCTCTGCTGGTTTAAGCCTCTGACCTGGCCTCTTCCTCCCCCAGCCCAGCTCCTCCTTAGGCCCTCTCCTGCTGTCCCCTATCTAAGAGGCCCTACCTAGTTCCCTAAAATTTTTCAGAGTTCAGCTTTAACTCCCCACTCTGCTTGATCCCTGAGTTAGGAATCAGACTCTTGTCCCCAGCCCAGCTCTGTGGCTCACTGGCTCTGTAGGCTTCATGTTCTCATCTGCTAGAAAAGGAAATTGTTTTTTCCTGCCGGGTGTGAAGATGAGACAAGAGGAGGCTTGTGAATGTGCTTCAGGAGCTGAAGGGGTCTCCTTATCTCTCCAGTCAAATTTGGGCTTCCACCCTTCACATCCTGAAGCACCTCTGTCCTGACACACATGTGCACACACACTATGTTGTTCTGTGAGCCCCAGCTCAGATTTCCCACCTGCCTGGAGCTCTTTACCCTCTTTCTGTATACTGTCTAAATCTAAAGGCTGAACATTCTTTAGATTTGCCTCCTCCAGGAAGCCTTCCCTGATACCTCAACTTATATAGACACACTTACACATATACACACATGCATGCTAGGCTGCATTAGGTACATACCCTGCTCCCAGAGGCTCCTGGGCCTCCTTCCATCGTCACTCTTCTGACTCTGAGTCATAATTACTTGTCTTCATCCCCCACTGAATTGTGAGCTCATTCACCATGTTCCCAGCTCATGGGGCAGGGCCTGGTGCTAGCGCGGGTGTGCAGAAAATGTTTAGTTGGAGTTGGCTCTCCTTTGCCCAGACTGGACTTCACATTAGATGAGCAATCTGTAAGATATCCACAGAGGGGGGCGTGGACCGTGGGGTCTGTAGAAGGGCTTGTTGTGGCCCTGGTGTCCTCTTGACCCTGTGTAATGAGAGAGAAGAACAGGGACAAGATGGCCTCTGCAAGAGGAAACTGGGTTGCAGGCCACCCCTCGTGAACATTTGGGTGGTGATTTGCCCTCACTGAGCCTCAGTTTCTCCTTTGGTTGTGTGGGCCAAAAATACTCCCCATCAGAGGTCAGCCTGAAGATTGAGTGAGGCACAGTGTAGTGTACTGGGGGCTGACATCCAATACACAGTAGGCACTCACTTCGCAGTGTGTGCTCAACATACAGATGGTAGGGTCATCACTGTGATCTGTCATCAGCATCATCACCATCACCATCATCATTATCATCACCAGCATCATTGTCACCATCATCACCATCACCATCATTATCATCCACCATCATCATCACCATCATCATCACCATCACCATCATCAATATCATCACCATCATCATCATCATATCAATCATCGCCATCATCATCATCATCACATCAATCATTATCACCATCATCAATGTCATCACCATCATCATCATCATATCAATCATTATCATCACCATCATCATCATCACCATCAATATCATCACCATTATCATCATCACCACCATCATCAATGACATCACCATCATCATCATCATATCAATCATTATCATCAGCATCACCATCATCACCACCATCATCAATATCATCACCATCATCATCATCACATCAATCATTATCACCATCATTGTCATCATCACCATCATTGTCATCATCACCATCATTCATCATCACCATCATCATCATCACCATCATCATCATCACATCAATCATTATCATCAACATCATCATCACCATCATCAATGTCATCACCATCATCATCATCATCACATCAATCATTATCACCATCATCATCATCATCATCACCATCATCACCATCATCACCATCATTATCATCACATCAATCATTATCATCACCGTCATTATCATCATCATCATCTGTTCTCACTAGTTGTCAGAGTGGTTTCAGGCTCAAATGAGACTATGAATGGTGAAGACCTTTGAAAATCACTGAGTGCTGCATACCTGGGAGGTGATAGTTAAGGTGCAACGTAAGGTAGTCCTTACTCTCCAGGAGCTTGTGGTCTGGTGGGGCTGCATGAGCCGGAAATTCCTGATAACAGATTTAGGGTAGTATGGGTCATGATCAGTGCCTGTTGAGTTGTTGTGTTAACGGTATGAGAACAATTGTTAGGAACCAAGAGGAGAACACCGTTTGATTATGGGCTCTCTAAATCCTCATTGAGTGAGTGCTGACATGGATCCTGGAGACCTGTGTGGACCCTGTCCTGCTAGCACTTGGGTTTTCTCATCCCTGGGGACCCACCTACAATCATCAATTTGAATCAAGGGAGCCTGCCGGAGTGCTCACATGTATACCTCCCATCCCCAATACACAAACACCGAGAAGCATCAGATCCCTACTGGCTTCCCTGGGAGGACTATGCAGAGATATCCAGGGGCTTTGAAATCTGAAGGGGTACCAAGTGCCATGGTGGCCCGAGAGAACTGGGAGACCATCCAGATGTTCACCTCCTTGGTTTACAAATGGGAAAACGGAGGCCTGAGGGGCAGGTTTTTCCACACTGTGTTTCTGCAGGTGGTTATTCCTATCTGTGGCTTTCTGTTCTGAGAAGAGAGTGTGAACAGTCTCTGCTAAGGTCAGCATACGGGTTAAAGCATTGACTTTGGGGCCAGACTGCTGGATTCAAATCCTGCCTAGGCATGTTGTTTAACCTCCGTTTGTTTATCTATAAAATAGGCATAATGCTAGTACTTATTTCATAGAGATAGTGTGAGAATAAAATGGGTTAATGTATTTAAAGCCTTTGAACATAGCCTGGCACATAGGATGCTGTGTATAAGCACTAGCTGCTCCCACTGTGATGATGATGATGATAATGATGATGACGATGATGGTGCCATTGATGATAAGGATGATGATAATGTTGATGGTGGTGATGTTGATGGTGGTGATGATAATGTTGATGGTGCTGTTGCGGTGCTGTTGTTGAGGGTTATGGTGATGGTGATATTGATGATGATGGTGCTGCTGATGATGATGTATCCGATCATCATCGTCACCATGCTGATGTCATAATGTTGTTCAAGATGTAAAAGAGCTATAGCTTTGTCTTTTCCAGCAATTCCTGGAACCTAAAATGGTTGGAAAATGAGATATTCTGGTTCATGGACTGATCAAATAAACCATATGCATATACCTATATTCCCATAGAGGTGAACAGCCAGGTGTGCCATTCACAAATGGCTGCTTATCGAGAATGTACAATGAAAAATACACAGGACAGAAGACTTCCCTTTGTTCAACTAAGCCTTCTTCAGGGATGGCAAATATGCCACCACCTCCTTCCACAGCAGACATTAATAATCTATCACCGCACCCTCCAGTCACT